AGCAGTTTTTATTAATTAGGTTTTAATAATAAAACTTTTAATTAATTTTCTTAAATAAGTAATTAGATAATCAAACCTCTCAAAAATTTTTTTACAGATTTTCCTGCGAGGTATGCTCAAACAGTGCGTGTGATTACGAAAGAATAATGAGCGTGGATTTTACTGCTTTTGAAAACGGTCACTGCAACAGCAGCACCTGACACTTTACCCACTGCCCCATCTTGTCGCCTATGTTAAATATTCAGCATTGTTGTTGTCGGTCTACACATTACATTATAAAGCATAAAATGATCATCACAAAGCCGATAAATTTTTTACCAGAATCCTTTCCACATGGACAACATACAGGCCAACATATGGATGTTTTTCGTTTAATTTCAATCATGAAATCAAAATAAAGTTAAGCTAAATAAACCGTTGGCATTTTACTTTGATGTTTCGTTAGAATCATAATCCCCGCCCATATCGCAATGAAGTTGAAAAATCTTTAGATTTATTGATGCGTACGCGTTAAGAACACCAAAGAAATAGAATTCTTTACAGGACATACTCATTTTATGCAGTTAAAAAATTCAATACACTTTGATATGTCTGGAATTTTATTTGTAATCCATAGCTAATAAACCTGATATTACTTGAAGTTAAATTTAACTTAATAATGATAAAAATAATAGTAGTAATATTCATAATGACAATATAAGTAATAATGACGAAAATTGCTTCTTGTTATTGTCACCAAATAATTTATGTTATTTGGGATGCATTTGTTGGGATTATTGTTTCGGTCTTTGTGGAAATTGTTGATTTGTTGTGTGGGTTGGGGTCCTTGTTGCGTTAGTTTTTGCGGTTGTTGTTGCGGTTGTTTTTGCGTCTGTAGTTTTCGTTGTGGCAGTAGTTGTCGCGTTGGTTATTGCAGTCGTTGCGGTAGTTGTTGCGGTAGTTGTTATGTTGGTAGCTTTTGTTGAGCTTGGAGTGACCATTTGGATGTTTGATTTTGATGTAGTTGATTTAGTGATTTGGCTGGTTGTGTTGGGTGTTGGTTTTGGTTGATTTATTCCTTGTTGTGGCTTACTTATTAGCGTTTGTTGATTTGTTTTTGATACTTCTTGTAAATTTTTGCTGTTAAATTGAGAATGTGACAAGGAAAGTCCAACTTTTGGATTTCCTATTTTCTTGTTCAACATCAAATCAGTTTGTTTCGGAGTTGTACTTGGATTTGGTTTCCCTGATTTGGACGAGATGTCGTTTGTTTGATGTTGTGGATTTTTAACTCTGTTTATTGTACTGATAAAATCAGATAGTTTTTTTGCGCAGTTACACTGGTTCTTGCACTGTTTTCTGTTGTTTACTCTTAAATTTTCCAAAACTAATGTATATTTTTTTATAAATTTCTTTGAGAATTTATGCTTGTAGTCTTCATATTGATTTTCCATCAACTTTATAGTAATTTCTGATCCGATGGGTTTGTTTTTCTTTGGGTCAATTTGTAAAATAATTTCTTTCGTAACCAAATAATTCCCTATTGTGGTACTAGTCTCGATAACCTCAGCTGTTAACAAACCTCTAATGGAGTTTACTCCATTGTGACAAGCAAAAATAAAACAAGTTAGCAAAGAACCGTTTTCTTTGGACTTCTGTCCTGTTTTATTTCTTCTTTCATTTTTTTTCATGTCCTCCAAATTGGTTGAGGCGTGTTCTAATCCTCCGCTTTCCATCACCATTGATGCCCTGTTCATTACCAATGCCGCATTACTCAAAACATTGCCCATGTTGCCAAATTTCCTGCAATTAAATGTTATTTGTTTTTATACATTTGTTATTTTTAAAAAACTGACAAAATATTTTTTTGAAAATCAATTCACTACTTTTTGTTTTAAATTTTTCATCAATAAACTTTATTGTTACAATTATCAGCGAAAGAGAGTAAGAAATTATTGCCTTATAGCTATTTTTTGTCTGCACATATATTAATTAGTAAATGAGATACAGTCCAATTTTTCTAAATCCTTATGAGTTACCTACATTTAGTATCTTTGTTTTCAAAACATTGCCTCACTGTCACGGATTACTTTCGGAGATAATTATTATTCCAACATAAAACAACACCAGGCCCCTTTAGATATTTCCTTTCTATAACCGAAAAGCATAACAGAAATTAAATCAACAGTTCGATAGTCAAATGAGGATAAAATCTTCATATCCACGGTTCAGTTCGATATTAGGTAATATTGTTGACCAGCAACAAAACGNGTTTTTAATATTACTAATTAATATTACACTACTAAATGGTTCTTTAATATTGCTATTAATATTACGCTACAAACAGTTTTACAGACGGTTCTTAATATTACTAATTAAAAATTAAATGAATAACATATTTAACTTATATAAGTTTAAATAATGTTTTATAATAAAATAAACAAAATGCAACCATTATTATATAAGATGGATCATTAACGACCCTCTACAATTTTTGACTTCTAGTCACCTTTTCTCTAACGTCATCAGGATAATTGAAAATTTGAAAATTTTTTAGAACTAATTCGTAGAAATAGTTACTTTTGTGGAATTCATAGGAGGAAAAAGTATATAATTCATAAATAAAAATATTGTAGGCCTAGAAGTATGTGCTCGAGTCGGTAACAGCCCATGTTATGCTTTAAAGTGTTAATATAACGCTACTAAACACTTCTTTTAACGATTCTTAATATTACTAATTAATATTACACTACTTAACGGTTCTTAATATTAATAATTATTAATATAATGAAAAACGGTACGATACAATTCAAAAAAATTTATTATAATATCAATTACAATATCACTACCCCAAACTAATCTTAATACGTACTATATCACGAGACAGTATTATTATTATTATTATTAAAAAAAATTTATATAGCGCCAATTAAAACCTTCCAAAGGCACTATCAAAATAATTTAACAAAATTATTACTGCGTGTAATTGTCACAAATAAATAAATAAATAAGCATGCCCAATATCACCATAACAATACATAAAACAAAATTGTTGCTACACATAAACTAAATGTATACAAGCATAAACATATTCAAGCGAAAAATAAAAATGTTTTCAATTTTTTTTTGAACAAAGAAAGACAAATTTCAACTCTCATCAATGCCGGTAGGCTGTTCCAGATGGTCGGACCAGCAACAGCAATATCTCTCGAAGCAAACCGCAATCGTCTTACCGGAACCACCAGCAATTCATATAATCCGACCGTAGATGCGAACTTGGAGCAGATTTTTTTTTCAGAAAATTTGTCTGGCAACCCATTTAACAATCTGCATACGATTACCGCGATCTTGAATATAATTCTTTTTTCAACCTTCATCCAGTGCAGTTCATGCAAAATTGGCGTCACACGGTCAAATTTCAATTTACCGGCTACAAGTTTTGCAGTCCTATTTTGAACTGACTAAATAATCGCAATTGACTTTGTAGGCAGACCATAAAACAAGCTATTACCGCTTATCGCTCATCGGTAGCATGTGCAGGTCGCATTTTGATTTGCTCCGTAATTTTTCTTAATTTCATAGTTTAAAATCGAGTATTTAGTTTAAATTTAATTTCATTTGATAGAGAAAATTTTGAAGAATATTTTTATATATTACAGTAATCCAACCGTGTTGATATGAAAACATGGACTAAACCCTCCATTGTTGGTCTGTCCAACAACAATCTAAATGGAAATAAATTTTTTAAGTGCGTAATACAAGAGACAAATAGCATTTTGATGTAGTCCTTCATGGACAGTTGGCTATCAAGAAGAACCCCAAGATTGGAAGCTGTTGTACTGAAAGATATATTGACATCTCCTATTTTAATGGCATTAATGTTCATCTTTATCAACTGGAAAAAACTGAGTCTTGCATTGGTTCAACTTTAATGAGTTATTTTGACATCCAATGACCAATCTCCATCATGCATTTATTATTATTATTAAGAAATAAAGCCTGGGCAAAACCTTACAATTATATCTGTCGATTTCATTTCTAGGCAATTTTGTACCTGAAATCTTTGCAAAAATATATAATAAGCCCTTCATGACCAGGGTCATGCTTCCTAACATTGTCAACAAACCAATCTCCGGTGGCATCGCTAATCGGCCGGAATTGTTACCAGCTGTACCATATCACGTTTCAGTAAGCACCAAAACATTTAAACCATTACATATAAGCCCCCAAATACCGTTCACTTTTGACCCAATTGACCTCACATTCAACAATCCAAATCTGACACTGTTTACTAGTCTTCCACCGTTGAATTCACCATCATGCAAGAAAGAATTGTTTTTAACCAGCTTAGAAAGACTGTAGTTAGAGCCAATTCTACCATTGATTAATTTGATTTTTTGTTTGCTGGAAACCACACTATTTTTCACCTTCCCACCTCTTAAACGGTATAAAAAAACCCTTCTTGCATTCCACCTCCATATCTTTAGCCTCATTTAGTAACTTCTTAAGTTCAATTCTCTGATCATTACTAAGATCGTGAGTCAACCTGGCACTAGCCAAGTCTTTATCACTTGACTCCATATTTTGAATGTTTTTGAAGACCAGCGTTTCAACCCCGACATCGTTGAATTTTATGAAAATTGACCTAACAGTACTGTTACATTTTTTGCCGAGCCGCATCATCTTCAGTATGTTCTTCTCACCCCACTCGTCTCCGGTCAAGTGATCAATAGTTTTACAAACCCTTGCCTTGTCGTCAGGACTTTCACTTAATCTGAACATCATCAGACTGGCCTCTCTATCTCTGTGATGGACAATATCGTGTAAAATACTTTTTTTTCAATTAAAGAGTACTGATACGAAAGAAATGAATTCATTTTCCCCTGCAAAAAAACACACCGATATCATTGAATGATTTATTAACAAACTATGAAACATCAAGTCACAATTTTCAAGATAATTTAGTTGGTGAGTGTCACAGAATTGTTCTCAGCGCGATATTTGCACGTATTGTGCGATTGTAGACATGCTTGTGCGTTTTATGATTTCCACCATCAGGACCAGACAAGAACTTTAATTCAATTTTAATTCAAACCGAATTTGAAAATACTATTTCTATCGATGCCATTTCATGCAACCCATATAACAATTGAAATTTCTGTACGTCATATGCAGCCTTATTCATAATAGTAACTCAACTAATCTAAAGAAGAACATAACATTGGCCTGATTTTTCACAAAGTAACTCACCAAACTTTTTCCAACTTTGATTCAACTTTGTTTATCTTGTAAACTTTTTAAAAGTGTTTTTTATCTAGTCGGTTCAATGAGTGTTTTGTTATTTCTAATGAGACAAACAAGTTGAGTAAGAAACATTTTGCAAAAAGCACTGAAAAAAACTAATATTGGTAAAACTAATTTTTTATTTAAAATAACATGCCTTTTCAGTTTTTTAGAATAGTTTCAGAAAACGATAAATGCACACGAGATAATCCAGCCAACAACTCGGTAAATAATAAAATCTGAAAGAAATTAAATAACCTTTTCATAAAAACAAGTCCTAAACCAAGAGTAGTGACAACCGCAGAAGTTGTTCCAGCTGCAATTGCAATTTTTTGATTCGTAGTAAGGACCGTTGTGTCCGCTTTACTAGCCCGCGTATGGTTCTTGCGTGTTGAATTGAAATCGATGTTTGTTGTTGTTTGTACAAGCATTGACACTGTTGATGATGTCAAAACTGATGTTGTTACTGCAACTGAGGTTGTTGTTGTTTTTGATATAATTGTTGACATAGTTGGAGTAGACGTCAACAAAATTGTTTCTATCAAGCAAATTGTTGAAACTGAAAATTCCAATGTTGATTCATTATCAGCGTTGTTAAAGTCTTGTGGACTTTCCATGTTTGCATTCTTAGTCGTGGTTTCATTTTTGTCGGTGGTTGTAGTTGTGGTGGTTGTAGTTATGGTGATTGTAATTGTTGTTGTAGTTGTGGATGTTGTATTTGTGGTTGTGGTAATTGTTGTTGTAGAAGTCGTTGTTAAAGGGTCTGTAAAATTTAACAAGTAACATTTTTATAATTTGTTAATTTTTTCTAGCAAAATTTAGATTCATTTTTTTTCAACCACTCATAAGAAGCCACCCAGCAGTTTATTAATTTATTAAAATTCCATGCCAGCTTTCATTCATCAATTTTTTTATTCTTATTTCGTTTAAAATTATGAAAAAATGATTATTTCATTACATAGAAACACCGCAAAAATCTTTTCCTCCCTACATGCTACTACTTCAGTATAATATACAGGACATTTCAGACATTTTTTTCTGGCAATGACGTTACTGTAACTTTTAGCGCATCTGCATGAGCGATAATCCTGAATGAATATTAATATTGCTGATAGTATTTATGGAACCAATATTAAATCAAAGGTTAACAATACTGCTTCAGAATATTCAATATAAATTATTTCAAAATAGGAGGAAAAGTATTTTGAGTAACTAGATAATGATGATAAGTGAGTGATTAGAATTGTCATTTTTGAAAATAATGCTACCACAGCAAGTATCCCTGTACTGCAATTTGAAGCACAGGTCTCCAGCTCCGTGTCTTTATCTTTTTCATACAAAAACTCAACATTCAGGCAGCCAATAAGCTGTAGATTGTTAACTTTTAACAAAAATATATTTCAAATAAACTACGGAATCGAAATAATGTTCATGTTCATCTTATCCTCTGTCCCGCTTTTAAATACTTTGGCTCGTCGACAAATTTCGAATTAAACCCAAAAATTGCAAAAAACTTTAAATTAAAATAGATTGATTATTGACGCATCAACATCAATAATTTCAGTAATTTCTAAATAACTTTTCCATCATTCCCTTGCAAGTAAAACATATGAGAAACTATCTTCTCATAGACACTCATACTCAAACAACAAAGTATTAAAAAATCCATAAATAATACTTTTATAGATTAAGTGCACATCCATTTCATAGCATGTCATAGGATCATTACAACCGCTGCATACTGATGGATTGACTTCTACTTGCAAAGTAGTATTGCATTTAAAATAAGGATGGATTGCATATTCTTTGTACTAGCAAAATTATTTTTATTTTTTCAATGTAGCAGGTAGTCTCGTCTATTATAAAATCAAAAATTTACAAAAGAGTTCAAAATTTTTTTAAATTAATTAATTAATTAAAAATAAAAATAATTAATTGATTTAATTAAATTGATTAATTAATAGAATTATTAATAAACTGATTAAAATATTCCAAAAGAACAACTCTTGAAAATGTGATAAACAAATTTAAATTTTATACTAAGATAAATAAGGAATAATATAAAAGTTCAAAAAATTAAAACCAATTTTTTGAAACACATATACACATACTATTGTACACATACATACACACTCAGACATGTACATATATATATACGTGCATATATAAGGTTGATGAATGTCCAATTAGAAACGAAAACGGACGATTTGGATTCCAAATTATCGCTCGTAACATGCGAAAATTTGGCGTTGAAAAAAAGAATTTTACAGCTTGAATCAAAAATTGATGAACTAGAGAACAAAGAAAAAGACAAAATGATAGACAAAGAAACCTCAAAAAAAGACATAGACTGGCTGTCTGGAGTTAAAAATGACAAGAAAAAAAGTGAAGAAGAGGAAATTAATGTTGTGAATGCAATTGTTGCCGTAAATAAAGATAAAGAAAAAAAATGTAGTAATTTTTGGAATACCTCTATCCTCTATCGAAAGAAAGTAACATCGAAAGCCGAAAGATTCAAGACAAGGCAATTGAAAAAGATGTTTCTAGTGAGTTGAATGTTGACAAAGTTAACATTTTGAATATTGCTAGATTCAAGTCTAAATCAAATGAGGTAACAACCCTTATTTTAGTGGAGTTTAAAGATAAAACAGTGCAAAAGGAAGTAATCCAAATGGCAAGAAATAAGTAAAAGAATTCTGAAAAATTCAAAAAAATCTTTATTTCACCAGATCTGAATGAATCATAAAAAAAAACTATCCTAAGAGCTAATTAAAGAGAAAAATGAAAAAATTGAAGAGGTAAACAAAATTAACAAACTGAATAATCCCTTTTAATATGGTGTTTGAGGAAACAAAGTTGTTGCAATATACAACAACAAACGAGTCTAAAACAAAAGAAGAGAGAAGTTTTTGTCTTGTCGGTACACCAATCACACATCACTGAACAATAAATACAATGATTTAATTATTGAAATAGAAAATAAAAAACAAGATATTTTAATGATATGTGAAACACAGTGGACAGATACTTCAGCAACCAGCATTTCAGGTTATTCTATATTTAGGCAAGACAGGAATCATGGCCGAGGTGGAGGTGTGTGTATTATTAAACCATATTAAAAAAAAGCATTTTTAAATAATGGAAATATTGAACAAATTTGGTGCTCAGTTGAGGTAGGTGATGAATCAATTTTGTGTGGATGTATATATCGCACTGGGGACAGTGACTTAAGTTATTGTAATAATATAATAAAATTTATTGATAAAGCAACGAAATATATAACAAATAATAAATTTAGTGGTATGTTAATATGTGTTGATTAAAATTTTAATATGATAAAGTGGAATGAAGAAAATATTAGAAATGTCACAACACCAAATGAATCAGGTTTATTAACAAATGTTTTTGATTTAATTTCATCTAAATCATGTAATAGAGTTTATATGTTGCAAAATTCACCACTTTTGGGAAATATTGATCATGGTCATCATATACTAGAATTTAGATAGAGCCTTAGTTG